TGTGTGTGTGTGTGTGTGTGTGTGTGTGTGTGTGTTTGTGAGTGTGAGCGTGTGCGCACCTGTGTGTATGTGTGTGCGTGTGAGTGTGTGTTTGTATGTGTGTGTTTGTGTGTGTATGCTTACGGTGAATCTAGTATGTGTCTGTGTGTGTGAAAGGGTAGTTGTGGGACACACACACAGACACACACATACACACACACACACACACGTACAAACACACTCTCGCACTCACGGACACACATACTGCGAAAGAGAGAGAGATAGAGATAGAGGAACAGAGAGAGAAACAGAGATATACACAGAGAGACACAGAGAGACACAGAGAGAGAAAGATAGAAAGAGAGTGGGAGGGGCTAAGATGTAGCGTATTTACTTGCAATGGTAAATCTATAGAGAGCTGTGGTAGTTTTCAGAAATTGAATATGTGTTATAACAGCCAATAAAACGGATATCATAATCTTTATGGTCTTTTCTTTAGGTGGTTGTACGGATACCTTTAAGTATTTGTGAAAACCGTTTCACTTCTTAATACAATGTTCCGTCCGACCTGTTGAATGTAAGCACATAATTTACATTGCGAAAGATATCTTACTTTTTTCATAATCCCCACCCGCCCATTTCCCGGCAGCTTCTTCTGTTAAAACAAAGAACATAGCTAAAGAGATTATTGCTGGCCGCTTTTCTTCTCAGAAGACGTTTCAATCTCGAAATCAATCACAATAACTGTACCAAAACGGGGTTTTGCATTTCCATGGTTCGTAACTTACTCGCGACCGGTGTGTGTGGAGTAACGGTAAGGCGCCTCGCCTTCGCAAGCAGAGGACAAGAGTTCGATTCCCGAATGGGAAGGCTTTTTATCAAGTATCCACATCTGTCTGCTGCGATTTTGTATCTTTCAAAGCACGGATTTTCCCTGAGGGACAAGGCTGACGCAGTTCGCACATGAAATGATCTAAATAATATACGAGTAAAGCAAATTATTATAGCTCACTCACGCTTTAGCATCTTCACAGCTACCACACTGCTCTCCTCCTGTGGCCGAAGCATATGCGCCTGAGCTCTGACCACTTGTCCAAACTCTCCTTCCCCCAGCACATGTTCCAGGGTCAGACAGTGTCGCGGGAACTCCCACTTGTCCTCGAACTGCTAGCCCCAGTTTGGTCATAAGAGAGACAACAAGTTGCATGAGGGAACTTCAAGCGTTTACACAATTTGCGCAGTGCAAGACATACGTTTTTGGTTACATTATCTATCTATCTATCTATCTATCTATCTATCTATCTATCTATCTATCTATCTATCTATCTATCTATCTATCTATCTATCTATCTATCTATCTACCTG